TGGGCAATCGGCGTGAAGAGGATTGCAGTCGGGTTCGAGTTGCCCGTTCACGAGCTGAGCTGCAAATCCCAATATGCTTAGCAAGCTAATAAACTCTCTTTTTGGCATGTTGATAGTCTGTTAAAAAAAGGGTGATTCAATCTTATCGTTAGAGAAGAGAGCCTCCGAAGCAAATGATCGCTCAGGCGGCACTTAGTTGACCATATCAGTATGGCTTATGATAAAGAGTCATTGTGTCAATCCATCACGTAGGGACTAACAACAATGTCAAAGCAGGTGTGAAAGGGATCATAAATCGAATGCCTAATCCGGTAGATGTGAGTACTAGGATCCTTATATCAACACAGTTGAGATTGTCCTCTTAGATAAAGCTAGATGCTTCATCTCAAACCAAGGTTGACAATAAAGTTCGCCTTCTCACAATCCCATTTCATAATGTCTTCATAAGGCAAACTCGGAGGAGCAAAGACTCTAAGAATCCATTCCATCTCTCTTTATTCCTCCCTAACTAAGACCAAGGCTTGGCAATTTCGATTAAGGCCGTTCCTTTGAGGTCTATCACATCTTCAGAAGCACATCAGGCAAAGGAAGGTGTTGTAGTGGCTGATGTTTTGTTGCAGACCCTTAGCAGGCTAACATCTTAAAAATTATTACTTATGAGTGTACTAAACGGGCGAGATAGTTAGGGGCTGCTGTTAAAATGATGCTTTGCCTAGCATCTTTGATAGCACCTAGATCTCTCAGGTCTACTCTTTCGGTGGTCGCCTCACAAATTGGTGAACGTGAACACGAGCGAACGGTATAAGTAAGTAGTTAAAACAGAGATAACTGTTTTCAAGGCAAATAAGACTTTGGTATCATTGTCCCTGGTGGGATAGGAAATGTGGTTGTGAAGATAAGGTGATAGATGCATCCTACCTAACTAACTACGGTAGGGCAGGGATACATACCAGCAACTTCTAGATTAAGTACTTAATTGGCATAGAATCCATCTGCAAGGCTAACCCTGGCGCACTCAAAGTGATCCTCCAATCAGATAAGTATACTATCCCAAGTGTGGAAAGTGGGTGGGGGTGGGTAGTAGATAAAGGGCTGAACTAAAGTACTCTGTACAGAGTAGATTCTTAGGCTTCCCAATAAGCCAAGCCTTACCTCTCACCTAGGTACCATTTTTCAGAGGGCTTTGGTGGGATAGGTAACAGGCGCCTACTACTTAAAGTATAGCTTAGGTACCTAGGTCCTAACTACCTCTATCTAGGGATTCTAGCCTGTAGCCTACAGACTTCCAAATCCGGGGCCTGTCCACTGTCCACTGTCTTCGCCTCCCGTCCCTCAGTCCTATGGTACACAAGTTCCGATCATCACTTTCTTTTTTCTTCACTCTCGGCCTTCGTTGCATTTCCAGCCTTGGTTGCCTGATTCACCTTGTAGTTCCTTCTGCTTTCTGCCCCTCTCTTAACCGCACCACCCACCGAGGCGCATCACTCTCTTTTTCACGGCTCGTTCCTACTGAGCATTTCTGCCCCCCCGCTACGCTTAGGTATACTAAATTATATTGAAGGACACGCGCATTCCCCGACTTCACTTTTCCTCGTTACGTGATATACAATGCGATAGCCTCCTCTGTCTCTTGTATCCCAAACCCTATATACATCGAATAACTACTACCATCACGTTTCGCAACGACCTGAAACAGTGTCGTCATGGGGCTCTTCGGCCAAAAGTCGAAGCTCAAAACGGCACCACCCACCATGCGCGTGGAAAAGGTCGTCGTGCCCAACAAGCCGAGACCAAGCCCGAGACCTTCTAACAGCGCGCGCGCGTCATCTACGCATCTCTCTCTCCCGACAAAGTTATCCTCCAACCCGCGCGCATCGCGACCGAAGAGCACATCTCCATACCCCTCCTCCTCGGACGAGCCACGGATCGAGCGGAAACGCAAGGCTGTCACAAGTACGCCTCGCGATTCACCCGTTTTTGGCAACGACACCGAGTCAGAAGATGAGGACGGTGATCCCTTCCGAAAGCGCATGCGACGGAGCGATGGTAGACTACTAGACATGAACCGCAAGCTGCGTCATAAAAAGACATTTGGCGACGATATTAGAAAACCCAATATTATCCATGCGGCTGATATCGCCTCACGATCAACAAAGTGCCCTCCGATTCCCGGCGCGAAAGACAATGAGGTAGCGATTCAGGTGCAGTATCCTTCGCGCTGTGTGCGAGAGAGGTAGGTTCTGCTTACTAGGTAACTCTCGACTATAGCGCTAACTTCATATTCAAGGTATGAGCTTGTATGGCAAAAGGATAAAATCGATGCGGTCAAAGACATTCTTGCAATCATCGAGAGTGTAGCCGAAACATATCTCACAGACACCGACTCCAAGGCTTTTATCGATCACAATATGAGTTTCAGAAGGCAAATGGAGCGAGCTGTAAGCGAGAAGTACCGAGATGTCTCGGCATTTCGAGCGGCGCTCGACAGCTATAACACAAGGCTTCTAGAATTGGTGAAAAATGGTACCGTCGCCAAAAACCTCGACCGAATACATCATCTACCGTCTAGTCTCGTCTCCTTGATCCTCACCCAGGTCTACGACCGCACAGTCGCCCCGAAGGTTGAAATGTTGACCAAGTATGATGCCGGAAGCGACAATGTTTATGGAGAGCTTTTGCACCCCTTTGTTACCAAAATTCTGGTAGAGCAGACGAAAATGACATCAGATCAAGTCTTTATCGATTTCGGTTCCGGGGTTGGAAATGTCGTTCTACAAGCCGCGCTCGAGATTGGGTGTCGCAGCTACGGATGTGAGATGATGGAAAATGCCTGCAACTTGGCAGAAGCACAAGAAAAAGAGTTCAGGGCTAGGTGTATGCTCTGGGGCGTGGCACCAGGAAGGGTTCATCTTGAGCGAGGCGATTTCCGTACAAATTCAAGGATCCTCGAGAAACTAAAGGAGGCGGACGTCGTGCTCGTGAACAACAAAGCCTTCACATCGACCCTCAACGATGCCCTCATCAATATGTTCCTTGACCTGAAAAAGGGCTGCAAGATCATATCCCTTAAGTCATTTGTACATGATAACAAAACTGCTATCAACGACGTTGCCACAAGTATCCTCGACGTCGAGTATTTCCGATATCACGAGAATTGGGTAAGTTGGACTGGATCTGATGGCGAGTACTATATCTCCACTAGAAAATGAGTCCGGCTCGGGCCGCATTGAATAGGGTATTCTTGCCTTATCTAAGGCAAATGTCAGTGATTATGACTTGACTTCATACACTGCCGGAAGAGAAGCGGTTTGAATGGTGGTTTACAGGATACCAAGGTGGCGTAGCCTGCGGAGTGCGAACGTTGTTCAGATTTAGAGCGAAGCAACGCTTTAGACACTTACTGTATAGAAGATGCGATTATAGATGATACCAGACAAAGCAATTATGATGTACGATTTCTTTTCAGTTAGCTTGTGTTGTCGTCATTTATGATTGTTCGGTGATTCGTTTTGGAGATTCAAGGCGTCAGCCTCGCGACCCATCCGCTTCATCCAACGGTCAACAAGCTCCTTGTTCTCAGCTTGCACCTTAGCTGCCTTCTGTATAGTCATATTAAGTTCCATGTTTAGGGTGAGATTATCATCCTGGACATCCTAGAGAGACGGGAGGCAGTCAGCATTGGAAGGGCGCATCTCTCGGGCACGTCAACACCAGTCATACGCCTCCCCCTTTTACCCTTTCACACCTTTACCCACCTCACCGCCTTTCTTTTCGTGCTCTTCCCCTGTGCCAAGTTCGGTAGTACGACCGAGTCCTAGCAGATAAACATCGCACAGTCTCGGGCAGGCAAGCAGGCAAGCAGGCAAACAAGACAGTGGCGCTCGTATCCTCTACGTACCTTCAGGAAGTTTTTCTTCTTCTCGAGCTCCTCGTTCAGATCGCGCATCCTTGCAGCCAGCGCGTTGCGCTCGGCTGTCATATCACCGATGCGTTTATTATCAACTCTATTCTTAGATCGCAGCGTCGTGAGCTCGGCCTCGGCAGCCTTGAGACGCGTCTGAGCCTGTCCACGTCCACGAAGGGCCTCGGCGAGATGGAGGCGCAGCTGCGCTGTGTCTTCAGAGGAAATTACAGGATCGGCGGCGCTTGTCGATGGGGGTTTCGAAGGTGCTGCTCTGCTGGAAGGGGTTGGTGAACCCGCGACCCAGGCCACCTTTTCGGCCTCGAGCGCTGCGACACGGTCCGCGAGCCGGGAGCCTAGAAAAGGGGGCAAAGGAACACAGCAGTCAGCTTTGTACGGCTATGGATGCATAGGCTCACGGTTCTTTTGTTTGTGTAGGGATGTTTTTGAGTCATGGCGCCGTTGGTTGTTGGTTGGCGTCACGCTCATCCAACGAAACGGGCGGGAGGAAGCCCGCTTACAAGCTTCGACCAGTTCCTTGTTCACCGGGCTATTGCGCTCCGCCTCTTGCAACGAGGCCAGATAGTCATCCCGCCAATTGGGCATCCTGATAGTATACGATATGTCACTTCTCAAATGTCCCGCTACATAATAGCATGGAGCCTCGAGTCGATGGGCGTCAAGGCGGGTTGTGGCGCTGGTAAGGTAGGTAACGAGGTTGCAAGCAAGCGGCGCAGGGCTTGAGAGATGGAATGGAGGGGTAGCTGATCTTGATCTAAGTAGGTACAGAATAGGTAGATACCTATGGCGGGGTTGGTTACAGGCTCGAAGCTCTTGCCCTACCTACCTACTCACATTTATGCAACTAGCCGCGGCAATATGCTTGTAGGTACCTGCACCTGCAGGTAAGCACTGCCACCATATTAAATTGTTGATATGTTTCAAATTATAGATTAACTTGCTGATATATGGTCTGGACGGTCCCGATTTTTTAAGTGATATATCAGTTTTAAATATCTTGCTCAAATGCACGCCGCCCATCTCGAGTAACCGAAAAAAAAAATTTATGATGTCGACCTGAGAGTACTGGTACTTGTGTTGATCTCGCTGGGGGTCGAACCCAGAATCTCCTGATTATCGTGAAACATTCGTCAACGAAATATCTCGTAACGAATTCTCGTCGTAGTCAGACGCCTTGCCATTGGGCCACGAAACCGTTCGCCTCACGGCGGATGTCACTCATACTGACCTCGCTGGGGGTCGAACCCAGAATCTCCTGATTGCCGTGAGGGAGTCATTTCTGAATCTCTCTCTCGTAGTCAGACGCCTTGCCATTGGGCCACGAGGCCGTGGTTGGTTGGGTTGGTCGGGCCGTATATTGAACTGAGAGGAATGGCAATCTTTTTTTTTTTTAGAGACCGTGCTAAGAATAGCGTTGGGTTAGATGTTTCTATTCTCTAAAACATGACTCGCTGAAGTACAAGGCAAACTAGAGCTAAGAAGGCTTTGAAAGGTCCTATAGGTACCACCTAAAGACATCTGAGAGAGGAAAAAAAGGTTAATAGTCTATTGTACTGCTATAGATCGCGGAGAAAAAAGTAGTTTCGAGGCCCAAACGCGACTTGAACGCGTGACCTTGGGGTCTGCAATCCCACGCTCTACCACTGAGCTACTGGACCAATTGTTGAAGCTGTTCCGACTGAACTGCATTTATTACATCGCGGTTCTCAAAAAGCTTCACCAGTCAGTAGGCTTAACATTGAGTGGGTGCGCATTGGGTTTGTTCAGACCTAGTATAGAAAATTACAATTTTATAAATGTCATAGAGCGGGAAAAACTATAGGTTAGGTACAATACAAGAGGTGGTATATAGCTGGTGGTGTGTATTATACAAGGCTAAAGCTTGAAGGAGAGAATAACCTCTTTCAATACGTGGGCGGGAGTGGTATGTACAAGCATGCTAGTACTCTAGTAAATGAGAGCCATTAGATCCTGACAATAAAAAAGGAAACTATTTGTTGTAAAGCTATATATACAGTATATAAAAAATAACTTAAAATAAAAGTTTAAGTTATAATATTTAAGCTGTTAAATTGTCACACCTTTAATTATATGAAATATTGCTAAGACTTTTTTAAAAATTTAAACATAGCAAGCCCTTGGTATGCTTTTACTCTTAGTATACATAGGTAGTCTTTAAAGTCGAGATACAGACCCTTGCTTGCCTGTCACATATAGTTCGTTTGTTGATGTTTTACTACCACCGTTACAGAGCAAAATAGTCTGTTTATTATTAGGACCTTAGCACTTTGCTACAGAATAGGACTGCAGTGTTTTAGAGCAACGCTGCTGAAAGTTAAATGTTATCAAATGTAGCACTCAACTATCCATAGTTACATGCTGGTAGCTTATGGACAGGACAAATAGGGATTGTTGCGTATTATTATGGTACTAAGGATGAAACCTAGCCAAGTCAAAGGAAAGCCACGGCATTTAAAATAGCTATACATGGGAAATCTTTTAGGAATTTCTAGTACTAGAATTCAATAAATTTAAATAGGAGGGGCGGGCTAGTTAACCAACAAACTTATGGAGCTGCCATAACGGGCAATGGAGGACTTCCTAGAAAATCACGGCACTAGAAGAAGAACAATATAGTGCTATTATTACCTAGTCATCTGAGAAGCACAGGAAATTCAGCCCAGTGCGGACAACCTTAAGATCACACTAAAATATCGTGCTGAAGATTTAATGTCTCTCCTCGCTTTAGATTAGTAGTTGTACGACCTGCTGATTGGGCTAACCGGGCGTCATGCCCGGGTAATCGAACCGGATGTTTGTTGAGGATTCTTGCATGCAGATTATTGCGAATCGAATGGCGAATTTGCAAGGTATATCCAGCCATCGTGGAGGTGTATACCTATGTTTTCTCGCGCGGTGTAGATTGTGGCAAGAAAATATGCATATTGTTGTTATTGCTTTAAGCTTCAGGAGCCTTTAAAAGTGATATATCACTTCCAATAATGATAGTAATGTTACGCCTTAGGTATATTAGCCAGCCAGCCTGGCTTGACATCGGAGCTTGAGAAAAAATTTTAAACCTACCTTGTCATAATATCTTGTCATAATACGGCATCCATGTAGTACGATGTGTTCGGTAAAGCTAGGTAATAAGAAGCAACGGAGTTACAACAATGATAGTAACTCAAATCCAGAGTTGATAGCTCACCAAGTTCTCGGAACGCATGGCCTAGGTTCATGCATAGCGAGCTGGCATGGCCTAGCAAGCCCCATTTAGGTTTACGAGGTACTTTGAGCTGTTCGTGATGTAATTATCAGAATGTCTGTATTCATACTCGTATTATGAATGGGGGCCGTTATACCTGGAACTTGGATCTTGTGAAGCCCGTGAAACTATGGCTGTATTAGTGGCTGTGCTATTAATGTTCGAGCACGAGTTTTTACATCAGGGCCCTCTAGGCCGCAGCTCGCCCGGCCAGCTAAGGAGACCACGGGACTTTATTTTGAAGCTATGATTCGCTGAAGACCTGGCCTCGACCATAAGCGTTGATCTCTCGGTGAGAGTAAGGGTCATGATGAGTTGGCAGTTGTTCCGCATTGAGAAGGCTGGAGTAGAAAACGTCCAACAGTGAAGGATGGTTCTTTTTCTCTCATCATTTCATTATTGGTATGAGCGGATGTGATGTGTCGAGGGAAATATCTGTACCACACTACTCTACTCAAAGTAGCAACAATGTGAAGTCGGGTACTTGACTATCCGTTCAGGTATTAGTAACTGTAGCAAAGCGTGGTACAGGTTCTGAACAAATCTAGCTTTTTAGGTGTTATAATACACAGTGAAAAACATCTGCGATTCGGGAGAATTGCTTGTGAGAAAACTGTCTTCCGCAGACCTCAATACGTATATCACGTGCCACGGATGAGGTTATTCTGATACCCGTTTCCCGCATTACATACTTAATATTAGCGTCTTTTCAGATATCGATATTGATATTATGTCGGCAGGTATTACTGATAGTGGAAACGATAAAACAGTAAATATGAGCTATTCTTGAGACATTGGCGCCATAGTAGGTAGATGTGTCTTAAGTTAAAGCTGTTACTCGGTGCCCACTAATGTACTGAGGTAGCTTCATATTTGCTACTTAGATGGCGGATAAATGGGCGTCTATTGGAAATATAGGAACTTACTAAGTACAGTATGTACAGCGGTACTGCACGAATTCAGATGAATGGTAACCAATAAAATAGTCGGCTTGGGGTGCTGTAGGTAGGTAATGCTGTACTGGATTTTGTATGTACGTACATATGTATATGCGTACATTGTAAGCAGTTATCGGAATTCCACTAGGCTACATTTGGTTAGCAGTTGGGGCGAAGCAAAGTGCGTGCAGAGGCGTGCCAAGAATCAATCTATGACGTTTTGATTGGCTTGACGCGTTGTTACGGATTCCAAAACAACGCGACACGTCCAACCAACGATACCCCCTCCCTGAATTCTTCTGTGCGACCAATCTGGAATCACTCTACGCGCTGTCCTCCCTCGTCCAATCGCTTACACCCACCTCATTAATCCCAGACGGTCTTTGCACCCTCGTACGAGCTGCATCCTTCTTGTCGCACGCACGCCCATTGCTTCGCATCGCGAGTAAAGATAACATCGTGCTGCGGGGGCCTAAGCAGAGAAGGATAGAAATCGAACAGAAGATAGAAAACTTGGAGAGTATGGGATAAGATATACTCAGTTTGCTGTGGATTGAAATCCCGAACGACCATTTCTAGCAGACAAACTACCACTCTTCTTACTTTCCTCGGTCCAGACTGGTTCGGCCTTCCCGCGCGTTAATCGGTAGAGTTCCATCAGTTTGCAGTCTTCCAACACCTCTTTATTTGTTCGCCTCTCTTCGGTTCCGAGATCACTTCACGCTTCTGCTCTTCTCTCCCCATCTCGAGGACCAAAAGTGTAACACAACGCCGGCGATCAATTGAGCCTTGCATGGGAAGCTGGAATTTAAGGTGAAGGTATGTACGCTTCCCAAGTCTAGGACTTTACGCATACTTAGTTTCTGTGGAACATCTGATAAATGAGCTGGACCTGACCTAAACTGTCAAAGCACGCGGAAATACCATCCTACTGTTAGTACGTAGATGGTTTATGCCGACCTTAATTAGCTCCACCTCCTTGCGCCGAACCCTTGTCCCATACGCATACTTTACCTACACCACAGGTATCCGCTTCTATCTTGCTTACCCTCGTCGTATCAGCCCAGAGCACTCTGGACCAATACTCTCTTCTACTCAGCTTCTTCTGCCGGGAACGCGACTCCACACGACTCCACTTGGCTGCTGCGACCCACTGGCGCCCCACTGCTGAGTTGGCGTACTAAGCCCTACTAGGTCTTCCATTTCGCACACTCTGGTGCCAGTTTTTCCTTAGACACCTATCATACCTACCGGCAAGACTGGGCATACCCACACATCCTACCTACCTAAACCTGTTCTTCAGCGCTCTTTAGCAAGTAGACTCTTAACTGCATGTACGTACCTACCGTGCCTCCCCTCTGTACTCTCTTCCAATCTATTTGCACACCCGGCTGTCACTCTTCCCTCCCCAGATCTCGACGATCCAGCTCCCCCTCCCTTTCGTCTCCTATCTATCCTCCTCCCATCCTAGTTTTTCTACTAGGTATTCAGCATTGCTACCTCCAGCCGCTTGTGTTACTACCCGTCGGAGAACTATCCCTCTCAACCATTTTGCGCAGTCTTCTGCTCTTCACAGCCTTTTCGAATTCATAAACAGGAACTTACCCGTACAGAAGCCTTTCTGCCTAGCGATACCCACAGCTCATAGGTTCATCCTTGCTTCGCGTCTCCACTACTCATCTGGTCCATTTTCCTTAAACCTAAAGGTGAGTCCTCTCCTTCTTTCCATTAAATTAGCTGTCGTCATGCAATCCCCCGAGCCGACCTTACCATCACTAGTTTGATCACGAATGACCACCTCACTCCCGCGCCTTGCACGACCATCTCATTGACATTGACCCGAGCAGGACGCATCTGGTACCAACAATTTCTAGTGCTTGCTCCTATCATCGCTGGTCAGCATGGCCAGACCAACACGCTTTGCGGCCCCAAACGAGCCATTGCACATATTCCAGGACGAATTCCAGGACGAAAACTACGGACAACCATCAC